GCCTCTTGGGGCCACTTGGGATCCTCTTGGGGGCCTTTTGGGGGCCTCTTGGGGGCCTCTTGGGCCTCTTGTGGCCATCTTGGGGCCATCTTGGGACCTCTTGGGGCCTCCTTGCGCTTCTTGGGGACATCTTGGAGGACATCGAGCAGACAAGAGGGGAGCATTGATGAGCGCCCCCCCCAAGAAGCCCAAATGGGGCCAACACCATAGTAAAACCTATGATGTTGGTTTCCTCGCCGAGGCCGTTTTGGACGCTCCGACGACTCGCGAAACCCCCTGTTCAGGTCCATGAGGAGGGGGTAGGGGGAGGGGTCAAGACCCCCTCCCCGCCCGCAAGCCGTCTCGCTCACTCCCACCCGCCCTCCCAACACATACGTAGCACCCGAGTCTGGCCCGAGCCTGAGCATATTCAGCAGTCGTCTTTGGATGGGCAGCTACTGGGGGCCAATCCGCCGCCGCCGCCGCCGCCGCCGCCGCTCCGCCGCCGCCGCCGCCGCCGCCGCCGCCGCCGCCGCGCCGCCGCCGCCGCCGCCGCCCGCCGCGCCGCCGCTGCCGCCGCCCGCCGCCGCCGCCGCCGCCGCCGCCGCCGCTTCCGCCCCCCGCTGCCAAACCGCCGCCGCAGCCGCTGCCGCCACCGCAGCCGCCGCCGCCGCCGCCGCAGCCGCCGCAGCCGCCGCCGCCGCCGCAGCCGCCGCAGCCGCCGCCGCCGCCAAGTGTACCATGCATTGTTTTGTTGACAGGGATGGTGGGGGAGGGGGGGCCGCATCGGGTTGGCTGCGCATGTTCCGAATTTGGAGGCAGAGTGTGGTTTGCATTGTTTCTTCCAAGGAATGATGGGGGGGTGTCGTCATGGACCCTGGTTGGCCCCCAGTCGCTTGGGGGATGGGGATGTCTATTAATAGGGAACAGTGATAAACCCATCCCAGAAGGGGAAGAAGGAGGGGTGGAAGAGGAACCCCCCTAAACCACATACGCCCAGAAGGCTGGTGGGATTGTCCCAATCGGCTCAGAGAAGTTAGCAGTCCGGGCTGGGTGGACTCCGGTCTGTTTGCGGAGTTGTCAACCCCCCCATAGGCTGTCGGGGCATGGTTAACTAACCCAATTCGCTCGGTTCTGCCAGATCTGCCCTGGCTTGGCATCCGCTGCCATGCCCCCTATCCCCTTCGCACCCCCCGCGCCGATCCCAGACAGGCCCAGAGGAAGGCGAGTTGGGACAACGGTGCATGGCTTTCGGGTGGGGCCCTCGTCGCCGTGGCTGGCCGCAGCTCGGAAACTACGCTGGACCCCAGGAGGGGTCCAGGGCCCGATTTTGAGCTGCCCTTGTCTCAAATTCGCCTTGCCCCAGAAGGCCGGAAGGGGGGGGCGAAGGGGTGGGCCCGGGAAGAGGGGAGAGACGAGGCGAGCAGGGAGGGGGAAGTGGGGGGGGGAGGCATCCCTGACCTTCCACGAGGGCTAAAAAATAGCACGCGACTTAAAAACCGATCCCAGAGCTATTCTACGTCTTGGTTTTAGGCTGTTTCGTTTAGTTTTTTCCCGGAAAGGGCTCGAGCCCAGGGTTCTCTTTTAGTTGGTTTCCCCCCCGGTTTCGACGGGAGGTGGGCCGGCGAAATTATTCTGCGATAAATTACGTGCGGGAAGAGGGCCGGCGAAACTATTTTTGAGGACGTCTCGAGCGAAACGCTTGTTTTTCAGAATTTGTTGAGGATGTCTCGAGCGAGACGCTGGTTTTGCAGAGTTGGGGATGTCTCGAGCGAAACGCTTGGTTTCAGAATTTGTTGAGGATGTCTCGAGCGACACGCTGGTTTTGCAGAGCCGACCGCGACACGGAAAAGCGCCCCTCGCGCAGGAATTCTGAGGATGTCTCGCGCGTGCCGCGTCCCGCGCGCGGATATTTGGATGTCTGGGGATTTTGGCAGGATGTCTCGAGCGAAACGCTTGTTTTTCATAATTTGTTGAGGATGTCTCGAGCGAAACGCTGGTTTTGCAAAATTGGAGGATGTCTCGAGCGGTGGCCTTGTGGGGGGCCAGAATTCAAAGGGTGTCTCAGGCGAAATGCTTGTTTTCACGTCCCGCTCGCAGGAATTCCGAGGATGTCTCGCGCGTGCAGCGTCCCGCGCGTAGGAATTCAGATGATTTTGACAGGATGTCTCGAGCGAAACGCTTGTCCCCAGCACGTTCCGTAGCGCGTCCCCTTGGCACGTCCCGCGGTGCGTCCCCATGGCACGTCCCTTGGCACGTCGCTTGGCGCGTCCCTTGAGACGTTCTGCGTCGCGTCCTCCTGGCATGTTCCCCTGTCCATTAGCTCTGGGGCAGCTACTATGTGTTCAGGCAGCTCGAGCTTAAGATCCAGATCAGTTCGGTCAGGACTCGGATGCAAAGGAGGACTCGATCCACGAGGCTATAGAGCACAATCGCGCCATGGCACATCGCAATTCAGCACGGCGCAGCACAGCACTGATTTCGGCACGGTACATCAAGGTCGATACACTCAGCATTGCAACTTGGCACGTTCCTTGGCACGTTCCGTGGGGCGTCCTTTGGCGAGTCCCCCTGGCACGTCGCGTGGCGCGTCCCCTGGCACATCCCGTGGCACATCCATTGGCACGTTCCGTAGCGCGTCCCCTTGGCACGTCCCGCGGTGCGACCCCATGGCACGTCCCCTGGCACGTCGCCTGGCGCATCCCTTGGGACGTTTCGCGGCGCGTCCTCCTGGCATGTTCCCCTGTCCATTAGCTCTGGGGCAGCTACTATGTGTTCAGGCAGCTCGAGCTTAAGATCCAGATCAGTTCGGTCAGGACTCGGATGCAAAGGAGGACTCGATCCACGAGGCTATAGAGCACAGTCGCGCCATGGCACATCGCAATTCAGCACGGCGCAGCACAGCACAGCCCTCGGCAGGGTACATCAAGATCGATACCTTCAGTATTGCATTTGCCCGTCACCCAATCAGGTGTCTTTGAAAACGCTGCCATGTGTTACAGTTCTACATTCCTTTCCGGGTTCGTGGGTCGATCATGTTTGGTTTTTAGACCTCCCGTGCTAAAAAATAGTTCTTTGGAAGGTCAGGGATGGGGCGGGGGAGGGAGAACGTAGACCGGATTCTGGGAGGAATGGGGGGAGGCAGGGCTCGTTCCGATTCCTCCGATTCGATTCGATTCGATTCCGATGGTTGCCGATTCCGATTCGATTGGACGTTGGATTCCGATTTGGGCTCCGATTTCTCAACGGAGACATACTAGCCCGCCGATTTCCGCCGATTCGAGTTTTCCCGACTCAACTGCCGACTTCCGCCGATCCGAGTCATGTCGATCGCCGATCCGACTTATCGAGTCGATTCTGGGCTCTCCTAGAAGAGGCAGGGAGGGGCCGGCCGGGGACATTTTGGAGGCGGACGCCCATGCTCTCTGGTGTGAGGCTGTCACCGAGCACCACGGACCATGCCCTGGTGCCCCTTCTCCGCCACCGCTCTGCCGGACCGCTGGGCGATGAAGTTGCCGCGGGCAGCCTCAACCCGACAGCGCCGCACACCGCACACACACACACACACACCGGAAGATGCGCAGGGTACCACTCCCCGAGTGGCTGTGAAAGGCCTGCGTGTTTGAACACGCCACACCCCCGCGGGGCGCCAACACCGCTTCCCACACAAAGACCCCCCCAAAGCCACCCCCAGGAGGAAGGAGGAGGTGCAACGAAAGGGGGGGAGAGACGAAGTGGGGGAAGAGAGGAAGGGAGGGGGGAGGGCAATACGAAGGGGGGGAAGGGAGGAGGGAGGGCAAGGCGGAGGGGGGGAAGAGGGAAGGGAGGGGGGAGGGCAAGGCGAAGGAACGAAGGAGGGAGGGCAAGACGTAGGGAGGGCAAGAGGAGGAAGCGGGCAGAAACGAGCAGGGTCGATGGTCAAGTCGGGCGTGTCCCTCTACGGGAGGAATATGCAAACATAGTCAACATCGCCTGGGAACGACTTTTCGAGTATTTGGATAATTTGTTCCCAGAAAGGGCTCGGGCCAAGTGTTCTCTTTTAGTAGGTAAACTTGTCCCCCGGGCCAGATTTCTGTAGGGCCGGCGAAATGTGAATTTGCAGTTGAACAAGTGCGTTTTTCGCGTGCCCGCTCGAGGAGAGTTTGCCCCCCATCTCGGATCCTCGATAAATGATGGGGTCCGCAGGCCACCGTTTTTTCTGTCGTGAGAAAGAGGGTGCGGGGCATTTTTAGCAGAATCATGCAACAAAAAGAAGGTCTGGAGCCCCGACCGCGACGCGGAAAAGCGTCCCGCGCGCAGGAATTCCGAGGATGTCTCGCGCGTGCCGCGTCCCGCGCACAAGAATTTCGAGGATGTCTCGACTAATTCGTTTTCTTTTCCAGGGTTTCCTTGGCCACACAGGGGGGTATCTAACATGTTCTGCCCGAGCGTTTCACGTGTCCAGGGCACCCAGGTGGGTATCTAACATGGTGGTCCCGAGCTGGCACCACGTTTTCCCGTGTCCAGGCCACACCGGTGGGTATTTAGCATGGTGGTCCCGCGCTGGAGCGACGTGCTTTCACCTGTACAGGCCACCCAGGTGTGTATCCAACATGTTGGTCCCGAGCTGGAACCATGTGTTTCACCTGTCGAGGCCACTCAGGGGGTGTCTAAGATCGTGGTCCCGCGCTGGAATCACGTGTTTTCACATGCCCAGGTCGCCCAGAGGGTGTATCTAACGTGGTGGTCCCGCCACCCAGGGGGGTATCTAACATGGTGGTCCCGCGCTGGAACCACGTGTTTTCACGTGCCCAAGCCACCCATGGGGTATCTAACATGGTTGTTCCGAGCTGGAACCACGTGTTTTCACGTGTCCAGGCCACCCAGGGGGTATCTACCATGGTGGTCCCGCGCTGGAGCCAAGTGTTTTCACGTGTGCAGGCCCCCCAGGTGAGTATCCAACATGGTGGTCCCGAGCTGGAGCCAAGTGTTTTCACGTGTCCAGGCCACCCAAGGAGGTATCTAACATTGTGGTCGTCATGCGCTGGAGCCGTGTGTTTTCACGTGTCCAGGCCACCCAGGGGGGTATCTAGCATGGTGGTCCCGAGCTGGAACCAGGTGTTTTCACGTGTCCAGGCCACTCAGGGGGTATCTAACATGGGCCTCCTGGATCCTTCCTGGGACTCGGAACGGAACGTCGAGAGTTTATGTGTATTTGGTATCGATTCGTTGACTTTTTGGCCTCCAGGCGCCTCTGGGCGTTCCTGGGCCCTCCTGCGCCCCAGACGACCGTATGTTAGGTATCTTCCCTGGGTTGGCTGGACCATCTTTTTGTTCGTGTGCAGGCCACCCAGGGGGGTTTCTAACATGGTGTTCCCGAGCTGGAGACATATGTGTTTACATGTCCAGGCCACCCAGGGGGATATTTAACATGGTTGTCCCGACCTTGAACCACGTGTTTTTACGTATCCAGGCCACCCAGGGGGGTATCTAAGATGATTGTTCTGAGCAAGGACCACGTGTTTAAAGTGTCCAGGTGTTTTTGGTGTCCTGGCCATCCAGGGGGATATCTAACATTGTTGTCCTGAGCAAGGACCGCGTATGTTAAGGTTCCGTAGCGTGTCCCCTTGGCATGTCCCGCGGTGCGTCCCCATGGCACGTCCCCTGGCACGTCGCCTGGCGCGTCCCTTGTGACGTTCCGCGGTGCGTCCTGCTGGCACGTCCCCCTGTTACTTAGCTCTGGGCCAGCTAATATGTGCTCAGACAGCTCGAGCATAATATTCAGATCAATTCGGTCAGGACTCGGATGCTAATGAGGACTACGTCCACAACGCTATAGAGCACAATCGCGGCATGGCACATCGTAATTCAGCACGTCGCCGCACAGCACAACCCTCGGCGCGGTACATCAAGATCGATACACTTAGCGTTGCAACTTGGCACGTTTCGTGGCGCGTCCCGTGGCGAGTCCCCCTGGCACGTCGCGCGGTGAGTCCCTTGGCACGTCCCGCGGCACGTCCATTGGCACGTTCCGTAGCGCGTCCCCTTGGCATGTCCCGCGGTGCGTCCCTATGACACGTCCCCTGGCACGTCGCCTGGCGCGTCCCTTGGGACGTTCCACGGCGCGTCCTCCTGGCATGTCCCCCTGTTACTTGGCTCTGGGGCAGTTACTACGTGCCCAGGCAGCTCGAGCTTGGATGCAACGGCGGACTCGATCCACAACGCAAAAGAGCACAATCGTGGCATGGCACATCGCAATTCATCACGGCGCAGCACAGCACAGCCTTTGGCACGGTGCATCAAAACCGATACGTTCAGCCTTGCAGTTGCCCGTCGCCCAATCGGATGTCTTCGAAGCGCTGCCATGCCTTACACTCCTATGCTCCTTTCCGGGCTCGTGGGTCGATCGTTTGTTTTCTTCTCCTCCCGAGCCCGCGCGCAGCAGGACACGCCCGACGTCCGTCAATGGGGGCGGCACCTCGCCCCAGGGGCGTGCGGGCCCCGCCGGGGCGGCAGCTCGTCGGAGGGGGAGACGGCCCCCGGCCCGGGACACGGCGGGTGGAGGGCCTGCCCGCCCGCGCTCCTCGAGGGTCACGGGGCGGTGGGCGGTGAAGTTGTGGCGAAGCGTCCCGGCATGCCTCTGGGGCCTACCAAAGAGTGTTATATAAGAGCCTTTTTTGTGGTTTCCACGAGATGTTCTCAGAACACCTCTGCCTGGGACTTTCTTGTTTCAACAGGTCAGGGTTATGTTCTGAGAACAGTGTTTTGGTTCTTGGAACATTCTGGGGTTCTAGGAGCTTTTCGTGGTCGGCCTATAGGAATGCTGTGACGGTCGGTTCCTGCTCAAGGCTGGTTTTCCACCGCCACCACCAGAAGTAGGCGGGGGAGGGGACCCTCTTCCTCCTCCTCCGCAAGTCGAGGGACGATCGCACTTGGACGATCTCCCCCCAGGTTCCCGAAGATTTGAAGCTGTCGATCAGGAGATGAACTGAATGGGCGAGAGCGAGCTCTTCCTCCTCCTCCTCCTATTCTTCATCCGCCTCCTGCACCTCCTCCCCTCCTCCTCCTCCTATTATTCCTCCACCTCCTTCCCCCCCTCCAACTTATGGTGGTGGTGGAGAACAGGCCCATTAATGGGGGGCGGTGCGCGGGCGGCCCCTCCGCCTGGGACCTGCTCCCACCAGTCGACTCCGAGGCCCAGCCGTCGTTGTGAGGCGGTTCACCCTGCATTTTTCTCTGCCCGTGCCCTGATCTTCTTTCGCACGTGCCCCGTGGCTGTTGCTAGCGGGGGAGGACGAGCAGCTCGTCTTCCCCCGGCCTCTGGCCGAGCCTCGTCAGTTCCGCAGCAGAATTTCATTAGCTCCGCGTTGGAGTTCGAAGCCCAGCCCACGCTGAGCGTCAGTTCGATCATGGTCGCCGTCCCCGAGGGGTCAGCACCGGGGACCTGCTGGGCCGGCGCCGCCGCGGCAGCGATGGAACGCTTCCAGCCCGCACGCAGGGCCACGCTCTCATCGCCCGTTTCCATCTCCAGGACGTTTTTGCTCTTGCTATCCCAAGGCTCCGCATCACGTCCAACAGCAGCGGGGACTCCGACTCCAGCAAACACCAGGTCCAGCGGCAATTGGTGCCTTGGCAGCAACCTTGGCCTCGCGGCGCCTTGCCTTCTTTCCAGGAGCGTTGAGCACGACGGGCGGCCCACAGCGTGTCCACTGGGACGGCAGGGTCCTCGGAGGGGGCGGGCACGCCCTGCACACCAGCGGGCTTTCCGCAACGTGGTCGAGGCTTGGCATTCGCCTTCGGCCGCACGAGCACAGCCGTGATAGGAGCGGCAGCCGCCTGGATGGTTCGGCGGGGCGCTTTCGTTTGGCAGGCTGCGCGAACGGCGGCCGCGAGCCGCGTGGCAGCATCCGCTGACAGGACCCCTTACGAGGTTCCTATGGGGACGAGGTGCGCGCGGCAAACGTAAGGGCCAGAACTTGGGGGGAGGGGGGACAAGGGAGGATGGAGGGGGGACATGAGGGAGAGGATTGGGGGATGGGGGTGGAGGGGATGAGGAAGGAGGAAAAGGAAGAGGGGATGTGAAAAGCGACTGGAAGGGAAAAGGTGGGGGGCCTCCCTCCTTCCCCCTCTCCTTCCCCCCCCTCTCCTTTGTTTCCCTTCCTCCTCTCTCATCTTTCCCCCCGTGCTCGCGTTTGCTTCCGCCTCGCGCCGCCAGCGCCTCCAGGTCGTGCTCAAGGAGTTCCACGTGCCGGTGGCGACGCCCCCTGAGGCCACCGGTCGCCGTCGCCGCCGCCGCCGTCGTCGTCGACGTCGTCGCCGCCTTCGCCGTCGCCGTCGTCGCCGACGTCGCCGTCTCGGGCGACGAGAACTGCACATATGCACTGCCCCTGGGGCACGGCCATCCTGGGCCCAGGAGCGGTGTTTGTGCCTTCTTGGCTTAGCTTTGGAGGGCGTATACACCACATGTGGTTCCAGGATGGGCCTGGCCGGGAGCAGCGAACATGTACAGATCTCGTCATCCTATATCGCCGTCGTCTTCGTCGTCATCGTCGTCGTCGAGGCCGCCGCCGCTGTCGCTGTCGTCGTCGTGTACGTCGTCGTCGGGTTTGTTGCCGTTTCTTGTTGTTCCTTTCGTGAGATTTGACGGGCCAAATGTCGCTAGACGTTTCCAGCGGGATATCGCGTGACAATTTAGATTCGATCCCGTCGTTTTCTGACGGCTTCGCAGTCTCCTTCGAACATCTTGGTCCCCACAACTCGAGTTTCAAGTCTCCCTTGTATGTTTTCGGCGGCGCGCTGAGGGAGGACGCGAGAGGGGGCAGGCCTTCTCAGAGGGCGGCGGGGCTTCTCTGAAGCCTTCCGACCTTCTGCTAGGATCCCTGTGGTTTCGAAGAAGGTTCAAGGAAACGTATAATCAGTGCGGAGCTCTTGTGAGCCCTCTGTGAAGGCCTGTCCCTCCTGCCTTCCCCACGGGCGCACCGCCACATGTGGGCGTCGCGCACAAGAATTCCATCAAGGCGCCAGCTGCCTGTACCAACCCGAGCCACGGTTCCGCTGACGGGCACTTCCGTGCGAGTCGGTGACGTGGGCGGGCGCGGTATCATGACGACGCCGACAACGGTAGACACGATGATGAGAGTAGCGGTGATGGTGACGATGGTGGCGATGACGACGATAAAGCCAATGACGGCGCAGATGTTGATCACGCCCGCCGATAACGATGACGACGTCCCCGCGTCGGTGATGAAGATTTTGGAAGGAGTTCGGCATGCGTGCGCGGCCGACGCGCGCTAGTGGCCCGCGTGGTTTTATGTGACACAGATCGTCCCCCCCCCCCGCCCCAGCACGCGCGCAAGGGCGTTCAGATGAGCTCGATAGGCAAAATTTGACGACAACGTTCAACACCGATGGTTTTCTAGAATTCGCACGACAACCATGGAAAGAACGTAGCTCGAGCAGCTCCCACAGTACAGAAGATGAGTGCCGCACGATGTGTCTTGGTGGTCCCGATCCAAGTGTGTGCGTACCAGTGTAGTCACCCGGGCTCTTGGTGCGGATGCCCCACATCTCCTGGCACGTGGACAGAGGCATGGGCAAACGAATAGAAACACAGCGGTGGATGTAAGATTTGCCAGGTGTGCTTTACCAGTTATTATGTCGCAAGTCTTTCTTGCGCAATGATCAGTCGATATGGATGTGTGCCATAAGCGTTGTTTAGATTTGCAGGCGAAGCCCCATGCTTGAAGATGCCCAGCGTGGCCTGCAAGTCGACAGGCTTTGCTGCTCAAGCCAATAGGAAGGGCAGGTATGGCGACGTAGGGGAGCACGCGGGAAATGCCTAGCCCGCAACTGTATCAATTTAGATGAAACCGCGCAGTCGGCTTCCAAATTGATCGGTTTCGAAGCTACTGGCTGGCGTCGTCATCGTTCGGCGCGCCGCCGTCGTCCACGGAGGAGGAATGAGATGAGGTGGGGGGAGGAGGGAGGGAGGAGGAGGAGGCTTCCCCCTGTTTCGCTGAATTCCAAGTCTACGTGGTCTCACTGCTTTTTTGTCCACATGGTTGTTACTGCCACGTGTTGCGTACGAATTCGATTCCCGCTAATTATGTGGTGTTGAGTCCCGGTTTTGAAGCGACCGCCCCGCGTCCTCTCCTCCACTCTTCCCCCCTCTCTTCCCATCCCTGCATGACGTCACCTCGGCGCCAGTGGCCAGGTATTGCTGCGCCATCTGGCACGGCAGGCTCCCGGTAGCCAGGCTTCAGCGCGCCTGGCATCAGCTCGAGCAGCTTGGCCCACCGCCAAGCCCACCTGGCATAGTATTCAAGGGCCTTAAGCCTTGAAGCGACGATGTGGATGGACTATGAATTCCAGTCTCGTCTTGGCCTCGGACACGGGCGCCCTCATCGAGATCTTCCGCACTCCGCCCAAGGAGTGTCCCAGCTGATGAGGCAGGGCATCCAACCATGGTAGGGCCGACAGATACTCCGCCACCACACTGAGCCTGTCCCGCGGCCTGACGCCACCCCTTGGCAGAGGGCGATGCGCAGGATCTTGGCCCCTCAACGTGGCGCACTTCGCGGACCGCGTGCAGGCCATCCGTAACCATTTTGGCCAAAGGGTCAAAATTGTTCTGTGGGGTTTGCACCTTGTCTGCGGCCGACGGGGAGGCTCGATGGGGCCTCCAGGAGCGGCAGTTCACACTCAGCACTTTTACGCCATCCCGTTCCTTCTCCTGTACTTTTGCTGCGATGCCCGCGCGTGGGGAGCGTGGACAGCGCCGCGAAGATTGCGCACCGTCACCGAGCTTTCGCTTTGCATCGTCGCGGGGTAAGGGCCGTTCTTCGAGAGAGGGGATCAAATGAGGTGGCCACCCAACTGTGCAGCCCGACGAGATGGACCTCATTATTACTTTTCTGTTGGGCCTCCCCCGGCAGGTTGCCGCTTCGGAAACAGACCTTGGCAATTCTAGTCGCAGGTGGAGGCCACGCAACATCGCTGTGATAACTTGACAATTCAGATACAGAACATCGGAGATTACATTTATTCGAGGCTTTGCAAATTGGGAGGTGAACATGCTGCCGTTTTTACTGACGCGAACGCTCAAATGGAGAGGTTGCAAGCCCAAGTCTGCGCTTTGGACAGCACGCCGACACCGATCGCCATGTCTGGCACGGATTCGATTGTTTCTTCCAGCGCCCGGGCCGGCCAACGTTTCGGACATCGAAGTTCGCTTGAACAATCGACATGTTCTGGGCCGATTCTTCGTCAGAATATGCATGATGTTTCCAGTTCGGATCAGAATCGTGACAGTGCGACTAAATTGTTCGTTGTGGGATTTGTCGCATGGTTTCCATGGCGCTGAAGGCAGCTGGCGAGGCCACTCGTGATAAATATTTTCCGGCCAATCGTGACAAACAGGTGTCATCACGGTCAAGGCGACCACTTACCTCGCAAAGTTATTAAATGTTTTGAATCTGTTACTGCTGCCAGTGACGTTCTACTCTTGTGTCAGGCCGACGGTTAATTTGACTTCCAAGGCCTTTTCTCGGACACTCCTTTGAAGCTTCGGATTCGCAGGGGCGTTCGTGCACGCGCCTTCAATTGTTCCTCAGCGTGGGCACGGCAAGGGCTGCGATGACGAATCTTCTCAAAAAAAGGGGCCGCACTGTCAACAGTAATGGATTGGGCGGGTGCATCTATGCTCTGAGGAAGTCTGACGTCCAAATGGTTATGGCTCAAATCCGCGTTGCTGCCGATGTCTCGATAGAGCTTGATCTGGACCACGCCAAGCTCCGGGAGCTCGGCATCAGTCAGCATTGACGAGTTCCGCGAGGCGGCCGCCACGCAATTGAAGCAGCCCTTTCGACGCTGAAGGATACAGTCCGGCGCTGCGTGATTCCCCCCTCCTTTCGTCTGCTGTTCCCTCTCATGGCTCGTATCTCCCCTGCCCGCCCGTTCCGCACCCCCCTGCGCGCAGCTGGACCGCGTGCTTTTTAGCCAGCGTTCGCAGCTCGTCGCGGCGCTCGAGCGCCAGGTGCAAGTCTTGCCGCCCCCATCGCTCGTGGGTGCCACGTTCTCTGCGGCCACGAGGTGGTGAGATTGGAGAGCTCCCTCGCGAGCTGGATGGGCCCCGTCTTGAGAGCAACATCGGTTACGGCGTTTTCCTGGCTCCCGACGTGAAGGCGGGGTGATCGCGGTCCTCGGGCCGCTGGTTACGTCGGTTTTTAGTCTTATCCCTCCGAGGCGACCACGGGCCCGGTTCTTCGGGCGTCGTGCTTTGGCCCCTCAGACGACCCGGCGATTTCCCGTGCGCACCTGCCGAATGCGAGCGACGCGGTCGCCACCTACGCAATTGCTCTGCGCGCGGGCTGCGCAGCCTTCGACGCCGCTGCAGACTCGAACCGCATAATTATAGGCGGTTCCAACTTCACTCTGGAGGAGGAAGGGGGGAGGGGAGGGGACGGCAGTGGTTGGACTGTTGATGATGAGGCGCATCCTCGCTTGTTTCATCGCCCGCTTGCACGCGTTACCGAGATATGCCAGGAAAGCGATGCCAGGGGGACTTCGGCGCGGGGTCATTGTGAGCACGTCGCGCCTTGACCGCATCTACTCTAACTTGCCGCCTGCTGCCTCGAGCGGTTTTGGGGTTCGCATTGGCTTGGCGGGCCGCCTCGTGCCGCGCGCGCAGTGCGATCGCATTCGCGCCTTGCCATTCGCTCGCCCGTCGCCCCCCCCCCCCCCCCCCCCCCCCCCCCCCCAAAGAGCCCCCCGCCATCCCTGAGCGCATCTGTCCTCGCCCCGAGATCCCCCGCAAGCTTGAGCAGTTGATTGCAGCGTTGGACTCGGATGCCTCGGGGCCGTCGGTGCGGGGGCGCCTCGAGTCTGTCAAGTCGCTCATGTCTGCGGCGTCGCAACGCGTTCGCGAATGCATTTTGCGCGCGCCTGCGGACACGCTTGAACTGAAACATCGCCGGGCGACGCGCGCTCTCCGAGGGTGGCTGTTGGGGGAGGAGTGGATGGTGATTGCCGCCTTCAATTCTTGTCTGACTCCGCGTGCCCTTCGACATGCGGACTCTTCGGCGCGCGGGCGTCGGCGGTCTGCGCTCGCTCGCCCACTCTATTCAAACGCAGCTCCTCGGCCAGGAAGTGGGAGTAATTGAGCTGCCCGAGGGTTCTGATGAAACTCAGGCCAACCAGAAAGCTCGGATACTGCGGTGTCAAGAGCGCTGGAGGAATTTTAAGAGCCGCGCCCACCTTGCATGCACCCACTGCCCCGACGGCCCCCCCTGCGACCCCCTCGAGAGCTCAGTCCAGGTTCTTCGTTCGCACCTGTCCCGGGCGTTCGCCCCCGCGGAGCTCGACAGGGCCCTGCGGCGTGAAACTGCTGAGCCCATCCAGAGACTCCCTGAGACCCCCGATGGACTGGCAGCGTTCGCATTTCATGCGTGGATCTTCGGCCGTGTTCATAGCGCGCCCAGGCCCGACGGCATCTCATATGGGGCTTAGAAAGCCCCCCCCCAGCAGCGCGAGCCGTATTTGACGCTCGCCTCTGTTTCTTTTCTGGTGAGGCGGGGCAGCTTCCGTCGTCGATGCGCAATAGTTGCATAATTTTCTTTCCGAAGGGATCCGACAGTCGAGACAGCGGCTCCGAGGCGCCACGCGGCCCAAACGATGCCCGACCCCTGAGCATGAGCGACGATGGCGTCAAACTCCGCGCCGGTGCTATGACGATTCGGCTTGCCAGAATCATTTCGAGGCTAGTCTCCACCGACCAGAAGTGCATGGCGTCTCGCGGCATGACCGCGAACGTAGTTGATTCGGAGGCATCGGCGCTGGAACAGCGCACTCTCGCGAACGAGCGGGCTTGCCTTCTCATGGCGGATTCCTGCGCCGCCCCCCCCCCCGTCTCCGGATACCACCCGGCTGCTATTTGCGCCGCGGGGGTTGGGTCCGCGCGGCGCCGCGGTCTTTTCTTTCCACTGCTTTTCGAGGAGCAACCTGTTATCTCCTCTTGGGCGGGAGGAGGCATGGAGTCGTTCGGATGGGCGGAGGAGCGAAGCAGGGATGTTCGTCCAGCGTGCTCTTGCTTATTATGCTGACCCACTGTCGCGGTGGACTAAGAGTCGGGTGGCCAGGCGCATTGATCGCGCTCTTGCTTGCGCCGGCGATGTTTATATCGGGCTCTCTGACATATTTTCCCCCCTTGGCCCTGTGCTCCTCGACGCACTTCGCGCGTTGGAACCTGTGGCTGGCTTCTGACTGGACTGCAGAAGATGCGCGATCTTTTTCGCTGGCAACTTCGACTTACAGTTGATGAGGGATTCGATTGCTGCTCTCCGTCGCGACTTTGAGAAGATGCATGTGGTCAGGGGTGCGAAGTATAGCGGGGTGTCTATAGGGCTCGAGTCTCATCTCGATGCACGGAGGGAAGTGCTTCCGAAATTCAAGTCTAGAGTGGGCATTACGAGACATTTTAGGTTGGGGCTTATGCGGGCTGCTGTTGCTTTCGGAGTGATGCGTGTTTCGGTCTTCTTTTTCGTCTTCAGACTTATCCGGTGCCAGGCGATCTCTTGCGGTGCTTTCGGGAGTCTGTGATGCGCTAGGCGGCTGGCCCTCGCAACGCGCTGTCCTACTCCCAGCGAGTGCAGCTGCAGCAAGTACTTCCCCCCGTCGAGTTTTAAGAGCGATCGCGCCTGACTCGCGCTACTTTCCCGCGTTGCCTGATCAGGGATGATGGGTAGGGGCGGCGTTTGAACACCTTCGCCGGCTTGAGCACCATGAAGAGCATGTCCTCGTCCGAATGAGATCGGGATGGTGGGGGACAGCTTTCTTTCATCTATGGGCGATCTTCACGCCTGGTTTCACAGCGTTCCGCGCGCAGTTGACTGCGCCGCTGGCAAGCTGCAGTCACGTCCGCATGACTGCCCCTTCTGACCGTCTGTCACAAGGCTGAGGATCCGATGATTATTCTTTTTCGAATGGTGGAGGCTTGGCCCCCCGAAGCTCGTCAGAAACAGCTTAAGCGTTCCTTCCTGAATGTTTTTCGTGGCTCCGAAGAGATCAGCCGTGCATGCTGATGGGGACCCTGCAATTGTTCGGTCGTCGTTTGTGCCATCTCGTCGCTTCAAAGATCGGTCTGTTGGGCGCGCTCCAGGGTATCGAGATGGTGGTAGTTCAGACTTTGACTCTGTTGGGCACGATACTCAATGTCCACGTATCGCGAATCTCTCCATGTATTTGTTCGGTCACGGTTTTATTGCGTCGTTGTGGTTTCCTGAGGTTTCGCCCCAGTTTCCCCTTTTTCTCCTGCTTCCACCGTCGCCACTGTCGTCGAATATGTTCTTCGCTGCCTGCGTTGGCGCTAGCGTTTCTCTGCGCAATTGCCGCCGCCTCGGCATCCCAGGCGCTCCCGAGCAACATTTCGAGGCCCGCCTCAGGGTTACTCGCCGTCACAGGCATGTTGCCAGCGCCTGGCGTCGTCAAGTTGTGGATTTTTGTCGCCCCCCCTCCTCTTCCGCCTCTCCTCCAGCGTTGAATGCGCGCGGTGCTCCTGGAAGCTGGCCTCTCGCCCGTGGCCGAGCCAGCCAGGGGCCGCTCGAGGGGCCGCCGGGTGAACGTCGGCGTCCCATCTTGTCTAGGCGCCTCACACCGCAGTTGTGCAGGCGGAAGGACGAGCTTGCAGTTCAATGTGCATGATGTTTCGTCCGCTGAAACGTTCATGGGCGGGCTTGGCACTCAGGGCTTCACCAGGAAAACAGGAAATCAAGAGAGCAAAGAAGAAGAAACAAACAAAAACACGTAACGCAAACTTTGGGCCGGCGCCTCCTGGGACGCGGCCGTGCGGCATGCGTTAGGATATGTTTCAAGCCCGTGGTGCCCTTTCTGTCTTTGACAAAAGCATTGAGGATTGAGGGCCATCAGTTTCACGATTGCCCCCGCGCGCTGAACGTCGGCCAGGGCTAGGGGGGCCCCAGCGAGGCTCGGGCCTCATGAAGGTCACAGGGCGCCTCCAGGAGCGCTGCAGCGTCGGTTTTGCGGACAGCTGCTACGATTCGCTTTGACCTCGCCATTGGCCTCTCGATGATGTCCTACCAGGTGCTCGATGCGGACGTGGCCTGCGAGATTTTCTGGTGGGGCGACTGGTCCACGACGGCGGATCTGAGGTCCACCATTGCCTACCACGACGGCTCGGGCTGTGATGCGTCTTGGCCTGAGCTTTGCCAATGTGGTATCTCGCCTTGCAGCAATTGCCTGTTTTAGGCGTCTGGGGATGGGCTCCCTGGAGAACCTCTGAGTCGGCCGCGGCTTCTGGCAGTAATGCGGCCGGTTGTAATGTGTCTAATGTGGTGGCCCTTGTGGGTTTCAATCGGCCTATTGTTTTTAGTGGCGCCACTTGGGCTCCAGGTGCTTTCTCTGGTATCTGTCCGCCTACGAAATCACCCGTGGCCTTCGTATGGTAACAGAAAGGCCTTGCGTATATCATCTGAATTGCGGCGGCTCGTCCGCCTCGCGGCAATCTCCAGCGTTGATGGCCAAATGTGATAGGCCCGTCATTTGGGAGATTCGGGTGTCATCGTCGGACGGTCACGAAAAATATCAAGGTTCGGTGTCATCCGCGGACGGGGCGTCCCCGTGCACTGAACCACCACGCGGCTAGGGCAGCCGCCCATTTTAACCCTCGCTGCTCCCTGGTTGATTTCCTGGGTGCGGAGTGCATTCTTCTTGCGTTTTTGTTCCCATCCGTACCGCTGCCCTCCACATGTAACCATCGTCGTCATCACCCTCAGCCCTCGCCGTCATCAGCATCATCATCATCATCATCAGCATCATCATCAGCATCATCATCGTCATTATCATCATCATCACCATCATCATCATTATCATCATCACTACCGCCATCATCAGCACCAACAGCAACATCAGCATCAGCATCATCATCATCGTCAGCATCATCACCAGCATCATCGTCAGTCATATCAGCATTATCGTTATCGTTATCAATATAAACATCATCCGTACCCCTCAGACGGTTCGTGATCACGGAGCCTCACCGAAGGCCCCAGCGTCAGCGCCCGCATGGCGCCACCCTGCACATGTCAACCCACACGCACACACAAACACACACACACACACGCAAACACACACACACACACACACACACACACACGCGCACGCACGCACTTCACACGTTTCGTTGTCCGCACGGGGACCCCGCCGAAGGCCGTAGCGGCGGCGTCCGCATGGCGTCACCCCGCATGGATGAAGAAGCAGGAGGGGGGGGGGGCAAGAGGGCGTGAGGATGGAACAGGAGGGACAGGACGATCGATCAGTGCCGCCGCCGCCGCCGCCGCCGTCGACGCGCCGTCCTCCTCGTCACGGTCGTCGCCGCGGCCGTGGCCGTTCGCCGCCGCCGGGGCCCTCGCCGTCGGCGGCGTTGCCGCCGCCCCCGCCGTCCGCGGCGCTCGGCGCCGCCGCCGCCGCGAGAGGAGGGCGACGCCTTCTCCCTGGGCTTCGTCAGCGACGGCCTCCCGGCGGCCGCACGGCGCGCCGCCCCCTCCCCGCCGCCGCCGCCCGCCGGCCGTCGCCGCCGACGGCGTCGGCGGCACGGGTGCCGCCGTCGCCCGTCGCCGTCGCCCGTCGCCGTCGGCGCCGTCGTCGCCGTCGACGGCGCGAGGGCCGCCGTCGTGGTCGTTGTCGTCGTCGCTGTCGTCGTTGGGCTTTCACCTTTGAAACATCATGATGGTTGATCCCCCCGCCCCGTGGCACATGGTGTTCTTCCATGGAAGTGCCCCCCCCTGGGACTCTCACCCTGTGTCTTGTCAGGGAAAGCCTTGATCGTCCAACGTCGCCCCCGGCCCCCGAGTTATAACAACGGCTCCATCCCTGATGCCCCCTCATCTTGTGTTGAGAAACCAGGCTCTCGCGCGGGACGTCCTCCCAATTTATTCAGGGTTCGGGCTCTCGCGTGGGACTTCCTCGCCATTTATTCAGACGCCGCGCCCTCGACACTCAGAAATCACGCTCTCGCTGTGGATGTCCTGACGATTTACTTGGGAATCGCGCTATCGCTAGAGACTTCCTCGCGATTCATGCAGGACGCACGCTTCAGCAACCCGCCTGCTCGACCTGGCCGCCTGGGCCTGGCTTTCCGACCAGCCGTTAATTAGGGTCTACTCGCCCGATCTGCCCGTCTGCTTTTGCCACGTGTTTTCTGTTCCGAGCCCCCCTCCTGCTAGGCTCTCTCGTGTTCCACCTTCCGTCCCCCTTGTCCCTTCTTTCCATCCGTCCACTCTTCCCCTGCCCTGGGGGCTGCACGAAATACGCGTTGCAGGCAAGACAGATATATCCACCAAGAGGGGTACGATCGAAGACGAAGAGGGCGGGTATTGAGGGTTTGGGGTGTACGTGTTGACTGGCCCGCGAGCAGATATGAGCGAACAGTCTTAAGATGATTGTTGTTGTCGTCGTCGTCGTTGTCGTCGTCGCTGTTCCCAGACCCCCTCGCGTCGGGAAAAATCACGGCGGAAGGTTTTGTTATCATTTTCTGTGTTTGTGGGTCTTCGCCGGGCCCGAAGGATTTCAAAACAGGACAAGCCGGTCCAGGGGAACCAGTCGAGATCTGTGGGATTCGACGTAGTGGAAGAATCATGGCATCGGGCGTCTAAGTCGGCGTCGCCGTCGCCAAGCGCTGACTGTATTGAGGGTCATAGGTTGAGCGACAGGGTGCGGTTCAAGTTGTGCCACAAGTTGCGCTCGTCGGGCGCAAGGGGGGCTGGAACGCGCGGGCGCCAGAGATTCCACCATGAGGTGCACCCAAGGGGTCCTTTGACCACCATGGAGCGCAAGGGCGCCGTCGGTTGTGGAGGGGATTGCGAAATTGGTTGCGTCATAGGTTGCGCCATGGGTTGCGACATAAGTTTCTTTGCATTGGTTTTCGCTGCCAAACCTGAGTAAACCGTGATGTTCGCATCGGTGCGACGCGGCTCAAAAAGTGCGCATGGCAGGGGCCACTGAAACGTTATTGAGCGTTTTCTGGTCTTGGGAGGAGGGTCGGGACTCAGAACAGTGGGTGGATCACACGCGTCAAGCGCGTGCCGTCTTGAATGACACCTAGATAATCTAAGTGTGCTGCCGCTCGGGAACCATGCCATGAACGGAACATACACGGTGTTGTGTTGGGCGATTCCCAGCAAGCAATTTCGTTTGACAATGTGTATATAATCAGTACATGCTCTTGGTGCATGTGGTGTGTAATTATTGATATGTGATGTTGGTTGATAGTATGTGTATTTGGTTGTGATATGATATAGTTGGCGTCTGGCCGTTATCAGTGTGTTATGTTGGTGTCTGGTATCTGTGTATGGTGTCGATGAAACTGTTGATTGGACTGCATGGGCGGTTGCTACTGGTTTATAGTATCTGTAGCGTGTGTGTGTGTGTGAGAGATTGCGTCTAGTGGTGTGATTGGTGATTGGTTCTGGTGCGGGCTCTTGATGTGTGGCATGTGCGCATTTTATTCGTGGATGTTTTGTGCATGTTTATTATGATCATTTTTGTAACAGCTGCTGGTGTCCGATGTTGAGGAAGGTGTTTGGAGTATGGTCTTTATGCCAGCTCTGGATGTATATGATTGACGTATGTGTTTGGTGTGTGCGTTGCGACTGGTATTACAGGTTACTGTTGCATGACATATGCGTACGGCAGTTATCCGTGTTGTTAGTGTATGGTGTTGATCTGTGTGTGCTCGTGTCTGGTATTATGTGCTGGACTGTTCGTGACGTGTGGTAGTGTTGCGCCGTGTTCGCATGTGCTCTTCGTAGGTGAGATTGATATGTGTGTTTGTGTTTTCATGAATATTGATCATGTCAAGTGTCGTTGTCATGGTGTTGTTCCACGTTTCGAAGGTATATCCTTTCCTTGTGTACGTGATGTTTGCGACCGGTGCCTGCGATTGATGAAAGTTCTTAGCGCACGCGATATATGATTATCCTAAATGCTTGTGGACTGCGTCACGTCGTGACGCCTGGACGCTGATGTTAGGTGTGCCTGTTCTACATGCATGTTCGTTCTGTCTTCACTCGATTCTCGCGGATCTCTGAGGCCTGGCGGCCGCGGTACACAGGGCGGTCGAGTAGGGACATTGGGGGAGCACAGGACCACCTGGACTGTTGGGGCCCGACGGCAGCGGCATGCAGGACTGACGAGGCGGGTAGGTGACCTGTCCCTCAAGTTAAGAAGTCAGGCGTGTCCCTGTACAGGAGGAATATTCAAAACTAGTTAAAACAAATCATATCGGGACGATTTGTTGAGTTTTTTTTGAATTGTTGTTCCAGTATGTTTCATTTGTTCGTCCAACATCCACCTGTAGAGGGACATGCCCGACCCAACCCTCTTGTCTAAGCTCCAACCTGTCGGGTGGGGAATAAGTCCAGAAATATAGCACGAACATGCTTTTGTTGCACAATATTGTTTCATTATCCCGGGGGTGGTGCTCATTCGCTAGGCGTCGTCCTCCTCGGCGTCCGTTCTCGACTTCGTCCTCCTCGTCCTCGTCCTCGTCCTCCACGTCCTGGACGATGAGCCTATCGATGAGAGGCGCCCTTGAGACAAGCAGGTCTCAGCTCCCTCTTGGGGAAACGTATGACTCGAGTTCGCTGGAAATCGTGCTTGCCGAAGCTTTTGGACGGGCTTATCCTGAATGTTGACGGTCCAGTTTTCGTGAGATGTTTGTTCCGATAGCTCGCGTCAATTTTCAGATTAGATATGATAATTTTCCTCACGGTCACGTCAGACCAACCCGCCTCCCCCGAACCCGAGTCTTTTGTCGCACCGACCCTCATCACCTTGGCGGTCCGCGAGCGGGGGGTGTCCGGCGGGGATATATAGGACTGGGGTAAGGTGATCCACAGCGTCCTGGAACGCCTTCAGAGCATTCGAGAGCACTCAGTAATGACCGCGGCGCTGGATACATCATCCAGAGCCGCCAGCCCCGATTTATTCCGATCCAATGTTACCCTGGTCATGGCTTCGTGGTGGGGGAGTTGTTATGCAGCTGGTATCAGCTCGCCAGACATCTTCGATGCTTGTTCGTTGTCGCGGGCTTCGGCGCCTCCGAAACAGGATCAACATTCGGCTGTATTGTTACCCCTCCGTTTGGTATCCCGGAATCCCCTATGGTTCGTCCACCCAGCATCAGCCTCCTTCCTCATTCGTGATCCTCCTTCGTCCCCTGGGTCCCGCCTCTACCCCTGGCTCCCGCCTCTTCCACCTCCCCGTACTCCCCACACGCTGTTTTTCTCCTCGCCTTCCCTTGAGCTCCTTCCCCCCGCCGCCGCCTCCTCCCTCCTCCCTCATCCTCCCTCCTCCCTCCTCCCCTCCTCCCTCATCATCCCTCCTCCCGCCGCCTCCTGAAGCTCCCCCCATATCCTCCCTCCTCCCCTCCCCCGCGTCGACCTCCCTGTTCCCCCATCCCTCCCCCCGTGGGCAGGACGGAAGGGTCGTGGGAGGAAGAGAGGCGGAGAGATTACGTGGAGAGTGGAGGGACGTGGATGAAGGGTCGTGGGATAGCGATGGGGGATGGGACGATCGGGAACTGAAACACATAAATTACGAGTGGCGGGACAGAGAGGCAGAGAGATTACGTGAAGAATGGAGGGACGTGGATGAAGGATCGGGGGGTAGTGCTGGGGGATTGGAGGATCGGGAACTGGAACATATACATTACCAGTGGCGCGCGGTTTCTCAATCCCAGGACTTTTTTGAGGGTCGGGGACGACGTCGGGGTGGTGTGGTGTATACTTTTCCCCCCGTTTTCCCGTGGAAGCAACAACAAATGTATACACCAGGATGCCGTATACACCAGAATCCGTTTTCTTGTGCGAATCTCAGTGCGGGACCAGAAAAAGCATCGGTGTATAAAGTTTGGTTCCTTAGAGGAGGGATGGCAGGTTGGAGCCAGCAGGGGGTGAGAGGTGGCCTGGCATTGGTTTCGACCAGCAGGAAGCGGGGGAGGTTCGGGGTCCATTGTTCGAGCAAGTGTTTTTCGGTCTTTGGGGGGCTGTTTTCGGACCCCGGAGCCATCAACGGATCCGGGGTGACATTCTGCACCGGATCGCCTTTGGGAGGGGCCCGGGTGTTGGTTTTGAGCAGATTTGTCATTACCTTTCCGTTTTGACAATTTTTCTCGGGGCCCAATCAGACCATCTGGCCGCCTGTAAGGGACATGATGGGAGAGGGGAGATGGTGAAGGAGGGATTGGTGGGGAAAACCAAAACGATAAGATAGGATCGAAACGGCATCCCCTTCCGGTGGTCGTAGCTGCGGTAATCTTAGTAGTTTTAGTAGTAGTAGTAGTAGTAGTAGTAGTAGTAGTAGTAGTAGTAGTAATAGTAGTAGTAGTAGTAGTAGTAGTGGTAGTGGTAGTGGTAGTGGTAGTAGTAGTAGTAGTAGTAGTAGTAGTAGTAGTAGTAGTCGTAGTCGTAGTCGTAGTCGTAGTCGTAGTCGTAGTCGTAGTAGTAGTATCAGTAGCAGTAGTAGTAGTAG